GATATTTCACTGTCATAGGGACATGTCCGCTTCACGCCACGATTATATAAAATAATAATAATTTCATTAAGATGAAATATGTATCTACCAAACACTCAAGGTTGACCTACAAAGAGGTAGGCATAATAGTTGTCCAGAGTCTACTATCGTTTACGACATCCGTACCGACAAACTTTGGCTGCACAGGAGGCGTTATGGTTGTCTTTGTGCAACATGTTGTGGGGTCAATCTCCACATAAGAGAAATATAGCACAAGTGGTTATTAATCTAGTTACGTGAAGTAGTATCGTGTTTAAACAGGAAAAGGTTCGAATACATCGACCATATCGAGAGCGCTGTCCTATCGGCGATAGTAGTAATTTCGGGTGCGGTCATTATAACACGTCTCAATTTAGTTTTAACACATAAATTGTAATAAGCAGAGGCGGCGGATGCGGGTGGCCGGGGCTGCCATCGCATTAGTGGCACACGTGGTAGGTGGTACAAATTCCCTAAATCACTTTGGACTATTTTTTCAAATATTTTTCCTTGTGTTTACGCAAATCGGCTTAAGATTGTTTAACTTTTTTCCTGTTCGTAGTGTATGTTCATCACACGTCTATCTCGTGTGGAAACGAAATTAATTTCATATAATAATATTTTTTTTATTATTTCAAATCTAACATCACGTTTTATTAAGCCATTGGCATTTCTATAGAAAAATCTTTTCCAACTATGAAGCTCTTCAGATAGCGAATGAGTAGGAAATTGCGATTGAACTAGATTGGTTCCTATATTATTTTTAACTGGACGGACTACTTTGTTAATTTAATCTCGCATACGTATTATTAAAAGGTCAAGTGAAATACAACGGCTAACATATTGCATCAGATATTAAATATAATATAGAGTCATTAAATAAACATTTTAATAATAAAAATATAATGTACGACAATCAACTTAATGTAATGGTTTAATTATTCGTAATTAATCAATCAAATGTTTTTTTTTTTTTCTATTAATACGTGCATATCGAGCCGTCAAAAATGACAACAGACTTGATAGGTTCGTTATTAGAATGAAGAAGGAAACAAAGTTGTCCCGTATCTTAAATGATATATGTCCTTTTGTTTTTATATATTTTTTATAGTTTTTCTATCCCACTTCGATCTAGGAGCGGAAGTGCGCATCCCGTGGGCGAATTGCGTCATTTGCGCCAACCCGTGGTGTTGGTCCGTTCCAATTTCCGTGCAGGTCATTACCGCATGTCTCTATTTGTGTTCGACACGTAGCGTGTGTGGCCGGTAATCGGCTGTCATTATTTGACGTCAGGTCGACTATTTAAAAAAAAAAGTTATGTCTAACGCCATCGGTCGTGTTCGTCCTAATTCGTAGGAATCTTCCCGCCGTGTGAAAAAGTATGGTTCAGGAGACACTGACCATAGACATGGTACGTCTATGAAGGAATGTTGGAATTCTTAAAAAAATCAGGAGTATATTTATACGTTCGTATGAATTACTCAGTGCTGCAGGTGATGGTGCCTTTGTTTCAAGTGCAAATATGATTTTTTTTTAAATACGCGTAAATAAAAAAAAGCACAAATTAATAAACAAGAGTCGCAATCACTGACGTCGCTCTTGCAAAGGTCTCGCACGCAATATACGGGCTGAAAATATTCATAGTCAACACTATAAGCGTCGCAAAGAACTGCCAATGACAACACGAGAATCACAGTCACCGATAGCTTGCTGACCAAACAACGTTTCTAATCTATCGCGTGTACGAATCTTTAAACGAGGTACGCCTTGCCTTAGGGCAGTACTTACAAACTAACGAATGACATAGTCATCAGCCGGCGAACTCCCTTATCGGACTTCGACACACGTAAACGACAATTCCCTTATCTTTGTTAATGTATCCACGTGCGTGAAGCTTCCACTAAGCCAAGCTTCCACCAATTTGTTAGACCCTAACTCTGTTTATGTAGAATCTAACAAACTGATGGAAAATTATAGCTTCTCCGCAAACTCTATACTAAATTAAGTTTTACGTGGTAAACAATATTAATGCGGAGACATCTACTATCAGTTTCCTAACCTGTCAACGCCTTTATTGAAAGTTTTATATAATAAAAGAGTTGTATGTTGTTTGTGTGTTGCTTAAATTCTTCTTAAATTATATAAGAGCACAAAATTTTTAAAACAATTTCTTAAACAAATGTAACCAAACATCTATTATTAAAAGACTAAAAAGTTATTGCTGGCAGTGTATGTTTTCATTTTAACATTATTTGATTACTCTATTACCTTAGGCGTCGCGGAATAATAAATTGACGTAAATAATGATACAAACTAATTATATTAAATGCATGCTGTCCATTTAGTGAAGCCGGAAATCGAGCATGATTGGCCAATCATGGTGCGGGAAAATGCACAATATGGCGTCTGTTCAGAATACGTAAAAGGAAATGACATTGACACTAATAACAGAATATTGAAAGCAAACCGGCGCGTCCTAATCAATTTTTTTACATGTTTCTTGAAATAGTTTGGTTACTCTAACTTAGAACGTAAAAACGTTGCTAAATAATTATTAATGTTCTGTTTTTGAGAAAATTCGTTAAATAGTTTAATAGTGTATAAATAAATTAATACAAATAGGTATGGTTCAATTAGTTTTTTCAGAATGATATATTTAACGATACATTTAAAAAAAAGTTTGTAACAATTAGTACTTCAAAAAGTTACGGAGATTTCACTTTTACGTTTCACTGTTACGGGATCCATAATGAATAATGTTATTTACACGACAACTTGAAAATCTCTTAGCGAAAGATTCTCTGTTAGAGCTCCGTTACGGTTAAAAAGGCAACATTTTTCAATAGGGAAAATTAATAGAACATAATGCTCTATTCTGGGTATCTTTATTCTCCAAAAATACAAAGAAAAAAAGGCTCGATTGAGTATTAGGACAATTCAGTCTAAATAATGAATTAGGATTTTTTAGTCATAAAAGTCAACCATCTGAAATTAGATTAATTCTCCACGTCGCCTGGGCCGTTCGAATTTCAAAATCTAGTTCGATGGAAATTGGGACCAAAATTATGTTGCCGCGTCATGACTTTGTGAATGTTGTTAACATTGAAATGAAACGGGTGCGAGGGTGAATTTTAATTAAATAAGGGGCGAATGGCGATTTCTCACTGCGGCTTTTCCACCTTTCGTTCTCTTTTCCGCCGGTTTTATGTGTGTTTTCACCTAAATGGATTTAACATAAATTGGTTGGTGTGATTTATTGTCCCAACCGATTAATTCACTGAGCGTAGGTATAGTGTTAATATTTGATGCAATGTGAGATATGTGTACAAGATATATTTATAAACACTGCTCTGTTTCTGTCTTTTCTGTGCTCTCTTTTTTCTTTCTCTTTTACGGTGTGAGTCCTTTTTTTGCTAAATAAATTTATTTTCTTTCTTTTCTTTTCTTTCTGTTGAAGTTAAGTTAGTTTGCTAGGTTCGAATGTGAATAGAAAGGTAAAATAAATAAGTGTAATATTTATAGGTGTTATTACTAATTGTGTGATGTGTCACACAAATAGTAATCAGAACACTGCGCTAAGTAGGCTCAATTAATTTTATAGTGCTCTAGGTTTTGAATTTTATGTAACCCTTTGACAAGTAAATGGTTTAGACCTTAAGTAACAGCTTAAATACGTTCCACTGCTAGGCATGGGCTGGTATTAGGGATTAGTCCGCCATGCGACCACACCACATATCTTCGACAAAATCTGTCTAAATTATTACTATAATCTAATATTATATCGAAAACACGCAGATTTCAACCCGATATTTTGCACCGCTAAGCGCGTCATAAATCAGCACTTATAATTCTAATAAGCCATTTAATTTGTGCCAGTATCGCGATGCTTACTCGTTTTCCTCGAGTATACTAAAAAGCGGTATACTAAAAATACTCGAGTATACTAAAAAGTATACTGAGTAGAAAGTAGTAGTAGTCGTTATATTTTCAAGCATGAGTTTCAAAAATTTCCATTCCTAATTACAGTAGGTGTCTGTCAGGATCTCTTTTAGTACACTTATTCTGTAGTATAACTACGCAGCATCTGCTACTGCTGCATTAAAGGCTTGACCTTAGCAGTACCTCACAAAATCCATGCTGTCTGATAAGTGAGGTGCCGAAGGGTCTATCCTTTTTACCCTTATATATAAAAATATACATCGCTGCCGTTTATATAAATTATAAGTAACTTTTTCTACATTGAATTTCTTGGGTTCATGCAATTAAACGCATGTCAACATTAGTATTAAATTATTAACTAACCATTAATTAGTTTAATTTAAATTTTAGGCACTTAAAGTTATTTCTGTATTAAATCCTTATTTTGCAAAGGCTAAGTAATGATTTACAATTTCTTGTACTAACGCGAATGGTAGATATATGCCTTGTTTTAATAATTCTTTCATTCTTTTTATTCCCGTTTAATTTTGGTTTAAATTTCCAACGTTTAATAAGTTACATAATCACGAGTCTATTCCAATAAAATTAAAAAATGAATAATTCCTAAATTTGCTTTAACAACTTTAAAAAAACTGATTCGTAGGTTCTAAGCTAAGAACGTAACTTTCGCTATACAAACGAATACAAAAATATTTTTAAATGAGAACTCACAACAAATATAAGTAAGAGACGATACTGTTTCATATTGAAACAGGATTTCTAAAGTAACGCAGAGCAATAAATAATAACATAATTTATAATACCAAGAGTTTTATTAATAAAAATATTGTATGTATAACTGTATACATCTATTGATAAGAAAACAATGAATTAAAACAACTCGAAGAAAAATATTAATTTAATACGCGGGCAAAGGTTCATCGAAAATAAGATTTATATGATATCGTAAAAGAGAAAAGGCTAGCTCATTGTTCCAACGAGCGGCAATCAAGAGAATTAACGCGAAAAGCGCGCGATAATTCACGTGGACAGTTGGTCGTTTAACCTCCGCGATCGGTTACGTGCCTCCCACGTCGCGAACTATGGATCAGCCGATGGACTACTAACGGGGGGGGGAAAAGGCAATCGCTGGTGACGGACGTCGCCGTCGCACCAATCGACGCTGAATAATTGAACGCGGCAGTATTTAGAGCCGCGTCTTCATCTCGATAATTAACCGAATCCCTCCCCTCCCGGGCGAGGCGTCCCCCGGGCGAGGCTAAATTAATCACCCGATCTCGCCCCCCGTTCGGGGGCCGGTCGGCGAGTCTCATTGGCGCGTCCCTTGTGGCGGGACGGCCGCGCCTACTTATACGGGGGACTGCGCCGCGGCCCCGGGCTCCGCCATTGGGCGCTCCGCCGAGGGACGCCTCGCCTCAACGCCCGCAGCGGCGCGCCAGTCGAGCGAGAGGCGCCGTGCCGTCAGCCGCACCGACGCGGGCGCGCAATGGATGTGCACTGAGCCGGGATGGACGAGGATTCGATGTCCGGCCACAACAGCTGCTCGGAGGACGACATCAGCGTGGGGCGGCCGTCGCCGGCGCCGTCGCGCACCCCCTCGCCCCAGGACTACTTCAGGCCGCTGAAGCGCTTGAAGATGGCCTCCGAGCCGCCGGAGGAGCGGCGCGGCGATGGCGTGAAGAGCTTCTCGATACTGGACATACTCTCGCACAGTCCCAGGACCCCACCGCGGATCGTGCGCCCGTGGGACGCGTCCGGCTTCGAGAGGCTGCAGCGCTTGCAGCGCTTGGCGGGGGCCGCTTTGCTGGACGGCGAGCGTTGGAGGCTGGCCGCGCTGGGCCTCCTCAGGCCGAGGGAGATGGCGCCGGAGTGCTGTGATTCCGCCTCAGAAAGGTCGTCGTCCGCCTCCGACTGCTGCTCGGAGCCTAGACGCGCGCAGAGCTCAAACGCGCCGCACACGCCGCTGGACGCGCTGTTCCACATGACCAGCAAAACCTTCGAGGCGAACAACACTGACAATGGAGGTGAGTCGCAGTTGAATAGACGTTTCGGTGTCGGTTCCAACTTAACCTAACGGATTGTAGTAACCTAACGGATTGTAAGTACATTGCTGTACAAAATCCATCGCAAAGTATTTCATTAGTTGTTTGATTACTAATAAGTTAATATTGATGTCGCAGTATTTTAAACACTATGTAGCAATCATAGTCAGGAATGACCTGCCCTGTATTGCTTATACATGACCTAAATGAAAAATTAAATATTTTTTTCTTTAAATGTTCAAAACTATTCAGTATTACAGTGAATATTTTCTTTTACATTTATATTTTACGATATGTATCGACATTTTAGATAACTTATAATGAAAAGTCAAAAGTACATTAAAATAAATTTACATGTGTTAAATATTTTAATTTCTCTTTTTATATCATAATACATGACTTAGATGTCCTTTTATAAACTTTAAATATTTTTAATTAACACAATTTTATCTACCTAACGTTGGAATAATTTTTTAGATTCTATTTATGCATTGCTGCTACTTATCACATACATAATTAATATGTAATTTTCATAGAAAAACTTATGATAAATAAGAAAACCCACAATATTAAACTAACTACTTACTTAAATCGATATTTTTCAGTAAAACTTAAATTTAGCAGTGGAAGGAAAATTAAAAAAAACTAACTACTCGTAACATTTAAAATTGTCAAAACTTTGTAATTACATGTTTATGTTTGACAACTATTTCTTCATTCTTCAATTTAAAACGTAAAAAATTGTTTATCCGAAGCGAATATTTTAATTCTGGTAAGTCTGTCAAAGCCAGTAATCAATATATATATAATATCAAAATAATAATATAATAACTCAAAACTTTTTCTCAAGTCGACCAATATGAGTTGTTTTCTTTGTTGTTCATAAATTATACAGTGAAAGCCAGAAAACCCTATTAGATTTCGTTTTTAGGCCTTTTTCGATGGTTCGTGAACCAGGCCGGATAGCTTTCAAGGACAAGAATTAATTATTTACTATTTTAAATATTGTTCTGGATTTTGCATTATATTTTGCTAACTACTCTACACCTCTCACTTTTGTAATCCAAAACAACTTTTGTTCTCTAAACCTGACTGTTTGGGAAACTATGTCATGGAAATAATTCGTTGATTGATACAATATCCTTGGTATTTGATTAATGCGTACTATGGACCTTCTTTATTTCTACCTCAGTTGTGACATCTGTACAAAGCTGGTTTTGAGGTCCCATTGTTTTTCTCTTCTATGACTTATATTTAACTTATTAACATAACTAGCGACCCGCCCCTGCTTCGCACGGGTTTAATGTATTATACATATAAACCTTCCTCTTGAATCACTCTATCTAGTAAAAAACGCATCAAGATCCGTTGCGTAGTTTTAAAGATCTAATCATATAAAGGGACAGACAGACAGCGCGACGACTTTGTTTTATGCTATGAAGTGATGAAGTGATGTTCATCTGACTTCATTCATTGATGGCGCTGTATTTAGAGGTGACTTTCTCGGGTTTGATCTTTAGCGACGGGGATTAAAGTCGTTTTTCTTCTGCTTTCTATAAGTATATTTGTGTTTAATGTGACAGATGGACACATGTCACGTTCGGGGCTATATTATCTACGTGATACAGATAGCTAGATAAATAGACACGTATTTTCCTTCTAAGTTACAGTCCAGTACATATCCATGGTGCCTTTACTAACGTTCATAAGGGAATAAAGCTTTAAAGGAATAATTAAATTTATTGTGTTTGAATTAGAAAATAAGGTTAGCAATATTAACATGTATAATGGTTTACCCCATGTTTAGAAAACGTTCATAAATTTCACATATTTGTTTAATAAGGATCATTACTTGTCTGCTTAAAACCGTTCCTAATTCCATATTCTAATTTGGCACTGAGTGATAGATTTTGCAATTAGACGCGTTGTAAAGGACCGATACTTACACCAACTTGTAGATGATTATAATGTTTTATTTGTAGGTATTAGTAGTCATTAGCCATCCGAATAGAATGAAAAATGGTTCTAATACAGTGATTACGTAAAAATGAAAAGTCACATTGGATTAAGGTATTTTATATAAGAACTATATGTAAGTGCAATCCATAGAGAATGCGGAATTTTAAGAATTGTCTTTCCGTCCATCTATGAAACAACAGTTTCTCATAGTTTATATATGTCTGTAAATCGCTGTATGAATTTTAGTATTTTGTTATTTATTTGCAAACAGCATTTTGGCTTTATTATATTAAACAAACGTTTACACAATTTGTTGCGAATTTGGAATACATTTTATGTAAGATGATATATAAAATGTTTGTCGATGTTTGTACCCTGTGCATTTCATACTATTCCACGCATTGTGTTGAAACTTCAAAGCTAGTTTGTTCATCACGAAAGTTTCTGATGCCATAAAAAAAAAGTTATATTACACTGCAACACGCGCCCAGTTTGCAGTCAGTAGGTAGATAGTTATATACCAAGTTAAAAATTTGAAATGTCTCCTAAACCAGTGCAAATCTTAAGTCCTTTTTTAAACATAATACAAGTGTCAATACGAAATCAAACCGAAACACGAATTCATCGACAGACTTTTTTATGACATAAAAGACACATCGGACAATCAATTTAAATATGGCCGACGCTTCGCGCGAACGAAACAACGCTATCGTGGGAAATCGATGACGAGTATTTGAGTTGATGATGAGTAGTATACCTATATTGATAATCGGAGACAAAGACATACGTTAAAGCAGACAATGCCGGCTCGTGTATCTTCGGAATATGCGATTAAGTTATGATTACAGAGCGGTGCCGAGGGTAATTGAAAGATTTTTGAAAGAGGCATCTGCGCGGGCGGCGGCGCACCGACTGTCATTAAATTCGAGCGTGCCATTTTTTTTTTTGTAGCGTCATCGTCGATTTTTGTTTTATTGATAACATCGCTGAAATTATAATCGGCTATTAAGGTCTCTTAATATGCAGTGATGTCTTTCAATAAATTTTGTAAAATAATATTTCGATCAATTTTCAAAAGGTTGTCAACGCATCTGTAACCCTCGGTTGTGGCCGATGTCCATGGGCGGCGGTATTCACATAACATCAGGTGAACCGTCTGCTCGTTTGACAACTTTTCGCATAAAATAAAATAAATAAAGATTCTAACATTCATATACGAGTTCTATTGCAATGTAAAAATAATAAATAAATATTTACTCCGCCTGAAAAGAAAGTAATTTAATTCAGACTAAGCGCTCTATGAAGTCGATATATTGTTATTTTATTCCCACGTTTTAACACCATTTTAAAATGGCAAATTAATGAAATTTTAAATAACTCAAACTTATACAGTCATTTAATAGACCCTTTTAAAACACTATAAAGGTAATTTACACGGGCTCTGCAAAAAACTATTGTTGCTGCACAAAGGAAAAGAAGATATCATAGCGGTTAACAATGGGTATTCCGAATTTGAAGCGACTTCAAAGAAAGGCGGGAACCTATGCCCCACATGGTACAGATTAAAGTATTACACGGGCAAAACACTCATCTGTCATTGGCACCGCTGTACAAGACCGCTTGATTGAGGAAGCCATTTCTTGCATTTCTGAACGGAAATAACATTTTTTAACATCCCCCTTCATGCGCTGCGGGACATTAGAGATTATTGTTGGATATCTATATCATTATTACATACATTAGATAAATGAGAGGGGATCGTATAAACATTTGTATCACGGACATAATTACGAGAAATGGTATCGTCATTTTCCACGCGTCGAGAATTTAAGTTTTTTGTAGTCTATTATACCGAACAGAAAGTTGGTAGTTGTGTGGAATGAAAATAAATTGACGATAAAAATACAATTTATTCTTCCATAATCCATAGTGAAAAATAAATAAAAGTTATATTTAAACATAACTCTCGATTGTTATCCTATTTCTATCAAGTTCTTTTTTTTTTTTTTTTTTTGTAACATTATTTTTTATTGATTTTATAATGCTATATCGATCTTAAAGCTCTGGAGTTGTCAGTTTCCGGGTCTCATAAACATCTAAAACTACTTACAAACATTCAGTAATTGTGTCTAGTTCTCCATTAAGCTGTGACAAATTATCCAAATCTGAGTATTGTAACAATCTTGCATAAATTTATTGAACAAATAGTTCATTTCGATCGTAACGCAATTAATCAAAAAAAAAAACAAAAGATTTATATGAATTGCGTCGCATCTCAAATATGAATATAATAATTTTAATTGTTTCAATTTGTGCGATGTTTTTTTTTAAATGGGTTGATGTTTTTAAATCGAGTTTAAGGTAAAACAAAATTGTATGTTTGTTGTCCGCGATAATGTTATAGTACGTTTTAGTGTAACTCCGAAAGTATGCATTTAATGCACCTTAGCACACGTTTGAATTATGTAAAACTATTTTAGAAAAAAATAATAATATTGTATTTAAAAATCAAATTAGAATAATTTACATATACAATGTGCATAATAAATCTAAAACATAATAAATACTCAAGAATTTTGTCGTGGAATTAATTAACATCAGTACTCACAAGGTGTCGGTAGGTAGCCCGTATCCATTTTGTTTCTGCTACACAGTCTATAAAACAAGGTTACAGTAACTATTAAAATAATCTGATACTGTCATTTCTAGTTGAATATGACATTAACTTCAGTTATGCGAGATTTAATCTGCGTAATGATCGTGGCTTCTGTGCAATATACTTGCGTTTAGAAACACAGTTATTTGGATTTTTGTGAGGTCTGCGAAAAACAAATACAACATATATTTTACAATATACAATTTTTCTACATATTTTAAAATACAACATATAGATTTCGTGATTGTAAATAATTATCGAATGATAAATTTGTTTCCATTGAATATTTAATATTTTATCTTAAATAACGATTAACTGGACGAATACCAAATTAGCATTACGCTTCAGTTCACACTATTAGTTATTATATTTTATTACCTCACAAATATCTTCTATACAACCTGTGGGGTCCGA